CCCTCTTCCCTCTCCACTCTCTCTCTGGTCTCACTAAGGCCTTAGCCTTCTCAATAGCTGGCTTTACAGATATGCACAGCCATAACTGGCTTAGTTAAGTGCTTTTATTGCCCATCTAAGCAACCCAGTGGATCATCCCCATGTAAGAAATGAGGAAACTGAGGCCCAGCCAGGTCAAATTCCAAAGCCAGAAAATAATAGGCCTAGGATTCAAATCCAGTAATTCTATTTCTTTTCTTTTTTTTTTTTTTTTGGTGCGGGGGCGGCACCGGGGATCAAACTCAGGCCCTTGCGCTTGCCAGGCAAACAGTTATTCCACTGACTTACCTCCCCAGCCCTCAAATCTAGTAATTCCACATCCAGGTTCTTGCATCTTCATGTCACATGGAGTCAGAGGATGATGGGAAGTTTTTACAGAAAATTAATAGATTTTCTTTTTCTCCACTGCTCTAATAAGTGAGCTGTTTGTCTACACACAACTCACTGATGTCCCAATATCCTCCCTGGATCTGACCTAGGCTGAGGGGGTTGGCTTGCCCTCTGGGATGAGTGGACACAGTCCTACCTGAGAAATCACTGCCTGAAATGAGCTGGTGTACAGTAGCATTGGGGAGTTTAGGGGCATCTGCAGGAAGGTACTGGAGAAGCAGGATGCCATGGTGGGTAGAGGTGTAGACTTTGCAGTCTGACATCTTGGCTTTAGATTCTGCTTCCCCCACTTTTTGGTTGACTCATTGGCAGCCAGCTTTGTCAGATTCTTCAGCTATAAAAAAGGGACAGTGGGTTGGCCAAATAGCTCAGTGGATTAAAGCGCCTGCAAGCAGCTGCAGGGGCCAGGGGTTCAATCTTGGGCCTGCCATGCTGGCTCTGCCCCCAGGGTGCACTGAGATGGCAATTGAGACTGGGTGTGGTGGTGCACGCCTGTAATCCGAGTTCTTGGGAGGATGTAAACAGGTGAATCACTGTGAGTCTGATCTAGTAGTGAGACCCTGAACACCCTGTAGACCCTTCCCAAAAAAAAAAAAAAAAAAAAAGAGGGACGGTGATAGCATTTATCTTACAAGTTTACAGATTAAATGACATACTATGTGGGTAAAGCATTCAGAGTTGTGCTTGGCACATAAAGTGCTCAGTGAATGTCTGGTGATGGTGTTATTTCCCAGAATGATCCCCCAAAAGATCTCCTGCAGCAGTCTGACACTTGATATACTTCTCAGTGTGGCTTCTCCGGACTCCTTTTCTAGGCTTCTTGCACAGAGTCTGTTCTCTCTCCACCCCGTGACTTGCTCATCTTGGAGCTCAGGGACCCTGTCCTCAGCCTCTACTCCTCGATTCTTCCTTCCTCACAAGTCTTTTGCTTGCCTGGGCTGCAACTGTGGCCCTTCTCCCAGGGGTTAGTGTGGTGTTGCTGCTCAGACCTCCTTCAAGCTGCACAGGGGTGGGGTCATTGCCTGCAGCTGTGTCCCCTCCCTGTGCAGACCCCACTCTGCTGAGGCCTCAGGACTCCCAGATGGCTCTCGGTCCCTATGGAGCACAGCACGGAGCAGAGCCAGCGGGCTTTGTGAGAGAGCTCGCAGGCCAATTGGTGGTCTGTTATTCACTTTACTAGGCTAGAGTAAGAGAAGGTGAGTTTGGAAAGGGCACTGGGTCCCCTGTTCTGCTGTCCTTTAAGAGTAACACTGGCTGCATGTGTTAATGTATCAGCCAGATGGGGTACCAGCTTGTGGTCATGAGAGCCTCCAAAAGATCCCAGAAAGGGTCATTTTTTTTTGGCGGAACTGGGGATTGAACTCAGATCCCTGCATTTGCCAGTCAAGCACTCATCCTACTGAGCCATCTCCCCGGCCCCAGAAAGGGTCATTTTTAGTGGGAATGAAAGAGCAGGGAAAGGACTGGGAGGGAAAAGTACTGAATACTGAGGAGAAATTATTCGAATCCACCTGACAGCTAGGGAAACTGAAGCATAGTTTGGATTTCAAGCCACATTTGTTAGGGTCCAAATTCCACATTGTTTTCCTGCTCCTTAGGTACACCCTTGAGAGCCTGTAACCCCAACCTGAAGCTCTCTCCTGGGAGCCCAGCCTCCTCCCACGCACCACTCACGTCTTCATTTTGGATGACGACCTTCATGCACCCTGCATGGTGGTAAACCCAGATGGCTGTGTTGAGCATGTACTGGGAGACTGCCAAGTAAATCATGCGGTCGTGTTGTGGGGGCAGCATCATGGATGGGGCTTCAAAAGGCACATGTGAGGGATGGCTTTGACTGAAGAATTCACCCTGGAGACACAGGATTGATCAGTGCCCCGCCCCCATCCCTTACCTTGGTCTAGCCAGCAAGGATACCAGGCAGGTGTGCAGGGCTTCTCAGGAGAGGCCTCCTGTGCTTTGGGTGGCAGCTGGGTGGTTCCTCTCTAGAACATGAACCCAATGGTGCTGAAGATCTAGTTCCTGAAAGCTGCCTCAAATCACCCCGTCAGAGCAGCAATCCCTCTAGGATGGAGCCGGTCCTAGGTCTCACAGCCCAGGATTTAGGAGGTGCGCCTGTAGTGAGGAGCTTGGGCTTTGGGGTTCCAGTGGCTGAATTAAATCTCAGGCCTTACTAGCTCTGGGTCCTTGGGCAAATCACTGACTTCCGTGGGCCTCCTCAAGTTCCTCATCTGTAAACTCAGGATGGGTTAACAATTTTATGCTTCACAGAGGCAGTATGACATTTAAATTACTTGTAGAAACTCTCAGAACTGACACAAGAAACATGTTAGTGTTATAAGCAAAACTGGAGAATCCTCACTGCCCAAGGGCTCAGCCCACAGTCGGGGTGTAGAAGGAGCATATGAACAGAGAGAGGTGTGCCCATTTCCTACTGCTGCTGTGAGAATCACTACAATGGTAGCAGTTTAAAACAACGCAAATGTGTTTCCTTATGTGTCTGCACGCCTGTACCACTTCTGAAGGCCTCAAGGCAGAATCCACCCCCCTGTTCTTTCCACCTCCGGGGCCACCTGCAGCTCTCTTCATCACCTCACCCCATGGTCCTGTCCTTCTGTTTCTTTTCACCTGCCTCCTTCTTCTGTGAACCGGGTGCTTACACTGAGTGCAACTGGAGAAGTCAGGATAATCTCGCCATCAGAAAGTCCTTAATCACATTTGCAAAGTTCCTTTTGCCATATATAGTCACATTCCCAGATTCCAAAAGAACAAGGTGTCTAAGGGAGCCCTCGTTTAGTCACCTGGGGGGCGGTGCAGATAGTAATGAGTACCTCCTTGTATACGCCTTGTATACACCCGCTTGGCTAGATCTGGCTTAGCGCTTTATGCATGTATGATCTCACCTAGTTCCTGCAAAGCCACAGGAGATAAGGCTATTATTATCCCAATTTCTTTTTCCTTTCCTTTTCTTTTTTTCTGGGGAGATAGCTCAGTAGAATAGGTGCTTGCTTGGCAAGCGCAAGTACTAAGTACAATCCCTGGTACCAAAACAAAACAAAACAAAACAAAACATTTTACCTCTTTTCTTTTCTTTTCTTTTTTCTTTCTACTCTCTCTCTCTCTCTCTCTCTCTCTCTCTCTCTCTCTCTCTCTCTCTGACAGGTTTCACTAGTTATCTGATGCTGGCCTGAACTATGTTGCTCAGACTGGCCTCAAACCCATGGCAATCTTCCTGCCTCAGACTTCTGAGTGCTGGATTACACATGTGTGCCACCATGCCTGGCTATTCCAACTTCATAGAAGCTCAGAGAGGTTAAGCAACTCTTCCAGGCTTCCCAGCATATAAATAGTAGAGCTAGGATTCAAGCTCAGATCCTGCAGACTCCAGGCAGATTTATCTTGTTGGCTCACAGAACCCGCCTTAGGTCTTGGTGTGCAGTGCCTAGTAGTACATCTGCCCATTATGGGATGGAAAAGGAACAGGAGGAGCTAACTCTGGGAAGTAGAGCTTATTTCCTCTCAGCCCGCAGTTCCAAGGTCCTTTCTTTGTAAACCCTTACCTTGAAGGGAATATCCAGGCCTTCAGAGGTTACCTGGGGAGCTCCTACCAATCTGTAGTCAAGGCTTGCAACCTCATCAATCATCGTGGTGACTGTGAGACAGGAAAGAGGCAGGCTATGAACGGGGTAGTCAAACACAATTGTGCAAGTTATATATCATACATCTTCAGGGAACTGCATTCACTTGAACTGTAAGCTTTGTAAAATGGAAGCAGGACTGGGGCTGATCCATGGAACTTTTAACATGAGAGACAATGCCTCACTCGTTCTGTACTTCATTGATCATCTTCTATATTCCAGGCATAATGCAGGTGGCTGAAGTTATAAGGATTTATTTATTT